AGGCTGTCTCTTCCTTCCTTCCTTATTAGATAAGGACATAGACTCTCTCTGAGGGAGAAAGGATCGTAATTGTTTTCCTTCACGCAGATACTCTCACAAAGCACTATAGAAATGACATTAACAGCCCGCTGAAATGCAGCCACACGTGGGACTTTTTTATCCTGACAATGAATTATCACTCTCTGCAGCAGGAAGAAGACAATTTTCCTCCAGGTACGGGTGAAACGCTTTAGGGAACCTTTAATAAAAGTCTTTAGAGAACCTTGAATGGCTACCTACAGCAGAGAGGATTTCTGGCTCGCTTCATCTGAAAGATTGATCTCTCTAGGTGTGTGCAGCCATAGCCTGACGCTATGCAGACCTCATTTTTTGTACCTCAGCAAGTGCTGTGCCTTCAAGAAATGTAAAATGATAGTTCCAAAGTCAGCTATTGGTCTCAAACAGCAAGGTACAATACTTCAGCTCTGTCTTTTGCCTTCCACATGCTTTACATATCATTTCAAACTGTGAATTGTGGAGGATTTCACAGTGAGAATCGCGGGCAAGTCTCTCCCGGTCTGTGGTTGGGACTGCATTAGTTGAGTTGTTTCACCTTGTCTCCACGTGTTTTTCTCTACCCCCACAAAATTTAACAAAATAAAGTGGCTGTGGCAAGTGGGAAATGGCCAAAGTATCAGATTAGCATAAATTACCAAAATAGCAAATAACACTGCTGAGAAAACAGTGCATTGTGAAAATCTATTCCCTTTACGGGCAGGAGAGTGATTTTATTTAAGGGCGGAGGAGAAGTTTTTTTGGCAGCTGGTGGTTTAGTTTCTTTTTTTTTTTTTCTTTTTCTACTTACAAAGCAATTTTCAGCATTGCAGACATTCATTTTCCATTACTCAGAAGGGATACTGATAGCTTGTATCTGAAATCTGAAATAATCGATGCCTTCAAAGTCAGTAGTCTTTTCCCTGGCCAACATACAGGCTTTGGCTGCTTCATGAAAATGACTCTATTTTCAAGCCAAACTTCATTTTTAAAGCTGAGAAGTTTTACCAAAGGTCTGAGCCTGTCATGCTGAGGTATGAGGAACAGCGAAGACTGTCATGTTTATGTGCTTGAGTGTGTGGGTGACATTGCTGTGTGTCTGTGGGACGTACATGGCTCTCAGCTTGAGGTGGTTTCAGATCTTCCACCTCCTGGCTGTCAGTCCAGTAGCTCAGCACCACCTGACTACTTAGAAACAATTGCTTCTGTAGGGCGTCTGCATGGGGCAAGGGATGTCAACTGCTTCTTCATGGTTCTCTTCTGTGCAGTACTTTTTGCTTCTAAGTCAGGATGAAGCCATCAGAAGCAGGCAGGAGGTAGTAATAACTAATTAGGAGATGTGAGATACAGACTGAAAGTGGGTAGTGGTAGGACTAAAGGGAATGGACTAAAACTAAAGATGAGTCAATTCAGACTGGACGTTAGGAAGAAGTTCTTCACCATGAAGATGATGAGACACTGGAACAGGTTGCCCAGAGAGGTGGTGGAAGCCCTGTCCCTGGAATTTTTAAGGCCAGGCTGAATGGGGCTCTGAGCAGCCTGATCTAGTGAGGGATGTCCCTGCCCATGATAGGGGGCTTGGAACTAGATGATCTTTAAGGTCCTTTCCAACTCTGACAGTTCTATGATTCTGTGATTATGGACACAGACTAACAGACTGCCAGGATTTAGTGTGGACACCAAGGGCATAGCACAGGATTTGAAACTCTAAAACACATGGATTATTGTCCATGTATGCTGAAATTCTTCCAATCCTCTGTGGAAGTGTCGTGTCACGTAATTGTTTAGCCATGTTGCCCTTTCAAATGAGAGAATTAACTGTACAAAAAAGAATGAGGTAGAGTTGTCCTGATTTAGAAATTGTGATGTGAGTAGATTAAGTGATCTATACATGACTGTCTCTACTTTTGTATGAACTACTACCAATGAATGAATAATATTTATGTAGACATGCTCTAAACAAGTTGATAGGGCACGAAGTGGAAGCATAGTTATTCTTTCTTATCTAAACCCTCAACCTGTTGATACAAGTTTCCTTTTCCTGCTGTTTTTTTTTTTCTATGAAAAGAACTTGACAGATCATTTCTTAACTGATGGATCCCCAGGGCCATGATATGCTGATGTTTCAGGGCCCACGCTTGCTACTGCTTTACGTACGTTAGATTTCTTCATGGAATTTATTTGGTTAATTTTGCCTTCAAATGGAATTTGATTGCTTGAGAATCGTCATTTTCTGGGTACAGTGGTCAAACAGTTTGCTAGCAGCCTTTAATAGGGCATACAGTTGCAACATTTTAATTTAAAATTGGGAGTGATGCAGTTCCTGCATTCAGTTAAGAATTTTACATGCAATATTGTTTTTTAATTGGTGGTTAGAAGTATGCACACACATACATCACTAACCATTTTTAGGTTATTTTAGTGGGAAATTTTGGATAATGGTAGTATGGATCTGATATTTTAGGAAACTGGTGGTCTCCTTTTATACATAATAGCGTAGCAGGGCTGAGAGGCAGTGTCTTGGCCAAGGAATGATCTCCATGGAGCACTCCAGTTCTCATCTTCCTGCCATTCCTTCTGAGGCGCCTCCAAGGAGATCCATCTCTCCTGCGTGCTTCAGGAACCCACATTTCCTTCCACTGACCAGACCCCCAAGAGTGGGGATGCCAGGTCTCATTCTAATGTGGAACCAGGATCCAGTCTGGCTAAGCTCGTGTCCCAGAGGTTTGACAGCATAGATAGAGGTAAGCTAGCACAAGAATCAGTGATGACAGTAAAGCCTGACAAAGCCCTTTTTGTCATGGAAGCCCTTCTGGTGCAGGTGTAGCGGGTTGATAACACGTTTCCCAAAATGTTGTTCGTGAATACACCAGTATTATTCTCTCTTCTCCAAAGGGTACTCTCCTTGTTAGCTTTTTTTTGGAAAAGGTGACACACAAGCTTCATTTTAAAAAGCCTTCCTGAAAAAGTACCTTGTCAATTTTTCCTGGTTTATATCCATTCTGGTTATAGGAAGCAAAAGCAAATGTGGTAATTCTGGATGAAAGGAGTTGTATAGCATACTTTTGATGGATGAGTTTATTGTCCCCCATTGTTTGCACAGTTATCAAAGTTCTGATAATTAGTGTCATATACATATTTTGAGGTGGTGTGGAAAAGCAGTAAGCTTTTAGTTTTCCTCTGATAAAATTGCTTCTACAATTTAGATGGCTTTATTTGACTATATAAAAATTGCATTGAAAAGTAGTCAGATAGGCTTTGGGGCTTTCTTGCCATCATACATTTTTGCTTTGAATAAGCTGATAGATTAAGACAACTGTTCTGTATTTCTGGTTGCTTCCATGGTTAAGTGTACTTTATGGTTGATTTGAAAGATATTTTCATTTAATGTTTTAATACTCTGTAGGCTGTTTTCTGTAGGATCATTCTCTGAAGAAAGGGTTAATACTTATATGTCCATTTGCATCTAGGGCTTTGCTTAGTTGAAGAGCCTAGTGGACAGATGTAAAATTCATGAAGGAATCCTGATGACACTATACATAAAGCAGACATAATGCTGTAGAAGCCCTGCATCGTTTGAAGAACAGCTATGGCCTAGACTTGAAAATCATTATATGACTTCTTAGCCTCATTGCCTGTATCCCCTTGATGAAAGTAAAATGCAATATACACTCTAATGGGCGCTTGACTATCTGTAGTGCTCCTGAAATGTGTCTGTAACTACTCAATGAAATGGTTATTGACAAATCAGGTTAGATCAGCATAAATAGTGATACTGTCACCACTGTATGCCCATCATAACATCTTAAAGGTTGAAAGCTTTCTCCAGGTGGAAGCATGTGTAACCTGTACTATTTTCTAGAATTGTCACAGAATCACAGAATGGTTGAGGTTGGCAGAAACCTCTGAAGGTCATCTGCTCCACCTCCCCTGCTCAATCAGGGCCACCTATAACAGTTTGCCGAGGACTAAATCCAGGTGGCTTTTGAATATCTCCAAGGATGGAGACTCCACAAGCTCTACGGGTGACTTGTGCCAGTCACCCTCATAGTAAAAAAGTGTTTCCAGATGTTCGGAGGGAACACATCCTCTGTTTCAAATTGTTCCCATTGCCTTTGATCCTGTCGCTGGGCACTGCTGAAAAGAGCCTGGCTTGGTCTTCCTTACGCCCTCCCTTCAGATGTTTGTACATATTGATGAGATTCCTCCCTAAGCCCCTTTTTGAAGCTGAGCAAGTCCCAGCTCTCTCAGTCTTTCCTCATAGGAACAATGCTTCAGTCCTTTAATTATCAAAGTGGCCTTTTGCTAGACTCTCTCCAGTAGCTCCGTGTCTTGTACTTGGAAGCCCAGAGCTGTACCCTGCATTTCAGGTGTGCCTCACTAGTGCTGAGTAGAGGGGAAGGATCTACTGGCAATCCTAACACAGCCCACGGTACCATTTGCCTTCTTCGTGCAAGGGCATATTCTTGGCTTGTATTCAGCTTGTCCACCAGGACCCCCAGGTCCTTTACTCCAAAGCTGCTTTGCAGCCAGTCAGCCCCTGGCCCATGCCAGGGCATGGAGTGGTTCCTCCCCAGCTTCAGAGCTTTGCATCTGTCTTTGCTGAACTCTGTGAGACGCCTGTCAGCCCGTTTCTCTGGGCGTCCTTCTGGATGGCACAAACCCTCCGGCCTATCAGCCACTC